GTGAGAATCTTGCCGTTTTGATGCATTTTAAAGGAAGGATCATGGTGTGGTGATGCAATCAAGCTAGATCTAGTGATTGTGTAACTGTCTATTTGGTTCTGGACCTATGTAAGTATTCAAGGTTCTATCTTTATGTTTCCTTTCTATTGGATCTAGAAGATAATCAAGTTACCAAATGTTATTTAACTTTTGTAGAGGTTAGAAGTGATCAAGCTTGCAGTTTTATCATTCTCTGAGGTAACTGATTCCATGCATGAAGTGGTTGATTTAACTGATTCCATGCATGGAGTTTTGACTCTATTCTAGCCATTTTGATCTAAGTTTAGAGGAGGACATGCATTGGAAAAATATGTCTATAAAGTTACAAAATTTATGGTCCTTCGTGATGCAAAGAAGCCTTCTAGAATGTATTAGGATTTATCTTATTATATTAAGATATTAATGAAGAAACGATAGTTCTGGCAAAAACCAAGTCATGGTCAAGGAAGGCCCACGATGTGGTGGTGCACTGAAACTCAGTAATGTGGCCAAGAGTTCGCCACATCATGGAGGCCGTTGACCTAGTTGATAATTGACTTTCGTTGACTGTCTTAACCTTGGGTTAAACCTGAAGGATTTGGAGTATTGATTGAGGTGTGATATTTATTGGTGTTGATCGGTTCACGACTATGATAAGTACAAAGAATTGAGAGTCTAGAGGTGTTTCTCTGATTCAACAATTCATGTGAATCTTCTTACTATGCAACGTATGGCATTGTATATACTATGTATGATAGTATAGTGGTAGTGTTAGAGTGCGTGTATGCTTGCTGATTAGTGTTAACATATCCCACTAGGAATACGTTAAAGATAACAAATTTTTTATCTTTAGGATGACCTAGATAACGGTCGAAAATCCCTCCTAATGTCATACCCAAGCCCTCGCCTTCATGCTAGGACCCTCATACTTGGCACTCTCACGCCCATGTATAATTCCTGATAACAATCCCTAGTCTATAATGTGAGAAAACATAACTGGTCATTTCCAAAAGCGACAAGTATGGTGCCCAGGGCATTATCCTCTATTTATTTTTGTACAAATAATAGACGACCACTAGTGGTGCACCATCCAACAATAGGTTTCCTCCACGTCCTGTCAGCCAAGACAAGACAATGAACACCATTGGATCATGTGCAAGGAACTACAAGTATAAAAGGATCCTCCTTCTCTAGAAGAAGGGATCACTTCCTCTCAATATCAAACCCTAATTACATTATTCTCAGCAAAACACTAACTAGACCATCGGAGCTTCATCCTGGGACCATTTCCCAGACATTCACGTAATGGAGGCATTTTCACAGACAATTTTCATCATTGTAACCGGTTGGTCTTCCCGCCTACATTTAAAACTTCCTTTTCCTGGTTCTTTTCGCTTTTGCTGCTTCTTTTCCTTTTTTTCTGCTGTTTCTACTTCTTCGACAAACCATGGTTGTCTTGAATACCGGGATCGTTTTTTCTTCAGGTGAGTTTGTAGCTCTTTAAGAGCATTTTGGTTTTCTTCCTGAGCACGGCGTGGTGTATCCTCGAAAGGGGGCGATAATATCTCGTCCACCAGAGGGGGAGGTCGGAGTCCCTATTCTGATATTCGAGGCTGGTTTGGGGTAGCCGAAAATGGATTTCTTTGACAAGATAATGCGCTAATATAGCTTTCGTGTGGACGATTTGACTCCCAACGCTGTCAATAAGAGCGTCGACTTTAACTTGTTTGGCGAGCCCTTGGAGTTCTGCTATAATTTTGGGCCTTTAAAGCTTTCTTCAACTCTTTTACATAATTCAGTGTTCGGACCTTTTCCCAAAGGTGGGGTGTTCATGCCTTCATAATCAATCAAAAAGCTCCAAAGAAGAACTACAAGGATCGTTGGCTCGGGGTGAATCACAATCTTGTAGGTTTTGATTATCCTCTCTTCACCACTTTTTCTAGTTGAGTGATAGAACTGTTTATGGCCAACGTCACTGTGGCAAAATCACTGATGACCATTTGTGTTAACGACATGGATTGGGAGGACCTCATGCTTGCCGTGGTTGGGATGAGTGCTGCCTAGAGGGTCCGAGGGATGATGCCCTAGTTCTACATCGAGAAAGACGGTAATCACTTCTCTTTCCCCCTTGATATATTCTCGCTTATGCATTGTGTGAAATGTGTTTGGATTTTTCCTTGCTTGTAGGTCATGAAAGGGTTCTTCCCGAGATGGTATTGAAGGGCCATTTTCTGGGCACACTACAATACCAGGAGGTGCCCTTGTTTGATACGCTTCCTTCATTGGTCAGTCTTTACGGTGATTTAGCTATTAACAGTCCTTTAATCATTTCTCCATCTGGGTCGAATTATCCTATTGTCCAGGTGCTGGTTGATGCACATGTTGGTGGGTGTTTCTCGTGAAGACCCCCCTCCGCCGTCTGATACTCAGGGGAGGAGCCGTCAACTGGGCTAATCCAACACAGGACTCGCGTGGCCTCTAAGCGGCGACTTTCCTGGATGGACTCGCCACAGGTGGATCCTAGCGAGGCTGGCTTCGAGACAACGTGTTCTGAAGAGGCGAAATATGGACTTCCTTCTATTGGAAGACATGGTAGTTGTGGATATGCCTGATGATGACACTCCAAAACAGTCGAAAAGGATAAAAGAACGGGCAACAAAACCACCCTGTGAACCCAAGGAAGAACCGGTGGATACTGCTACTGAAAGCACTTTTGGTGTGTGCTAGCTCTCCAGTCATGAAGGTGCTCCTAGCTCCCCAATTTTGCTTTTGGCTGGGTGGGGGGGGGGGGGGGATCCTGCTGAGGGCTCTATTCCTATTCCTCCGGTGGCACCGATCGTGTATATGCCTAAGTGGGGAATAACTTAGGAGTCTTCCTTTCTTAGCACATGGTGGCATACGATTGGATCCATCACACTTTTCCACCTGCCACTATCGAGGCCTTGGATATTCTCTCAAATGTTCATCTTTCTAACAACCTCATATATACGACTGCCTAGGTTGGTTCATATATGGTTGTGACTGCGTCTCACCTTCATCAGGGCGATTCCAGTTCTGGCGAGCTTGTTCAGACCAGGGCTAAGCGGGATAAGTTGAGGGCCAAGCTGTTGGCGTTTGAAGTGAGAAGCATTCATTCGAGGAGCACTATGATCTCTTGGTGGGGGAGAAAGAATCTATAGAGGATAAGGCCGCTGCTTTGTACAGGTCAATGGAGCGTTTCTCCCAGCGTATCAAGGTATTGGTGGAAGAGAAGAAGGCGTTTAAGTATCAGGTGGATCGTGCTACCAAGTAGTTATAGGAAGAGGTGGCGAAGAAGAAGAGCAGAGAGGATGATATCAGGTGGCTGCTTCAGAAAGGAATTTCTTGTATGGTGGACAAGGTGGTTGAAAGTTATGAGTTTGCGATGGGAGTAAAGCAGATGCAGATGGCGTGCATGGCCGCCGATGTGGATAATGGCAAGTAAGAGGTCTAGGAATAGGTCATTACTGGGAAGTTTGTCCCTGGGGTGGCTGTCACTACCATAGAGCATATTCAGGAATTGCACGTTGGTATGAAAGCGTTTATGGAGAAGGACTTTGCCTCCTACCTCCTCCTGGGCGAGCTCAACATGTAAGGTCTTCGACAATTATGTGATGAATCTAACACCAAGAATAGCCGGGTCGAAGGTGGCTCTTCTCATGCTGGTGATTCCCCTGTTAAGTGATGGATTTTATTTCCTCTTTGAATATTTCAGAACAATGTTTGTGTTTGTTTGGTACTTCAACAATGTTTCATTGCTTTTCTTTGGCCTTGCATGGTCTTTGTGCAAATTTCAGGGGGCTGTTCGGGTAGACAGTTTATCTTATGTATGTTAAATTCTCCTTCTTTTGGTCTGTTATACTATCAATTTGTGCTGTCCTTGTGTTTGGTGGTTTATGTTGTCCATCTTTGTCTTGAATTCTTCACAAAGGCTAGTCTCGCCCTTTTTGGGGGTGGTTGTTATTTGTTTTGACAAGTTTTGGTGATCGAGAGCATCTGATCCTGTTGTTTGTCCTTTGGCGTATCCTCCTAGCGTGAGGCTTTGGTAGGATTTTAGGTGTGGGACCTAGGTAGCCTGCTTCATTGGAATGTCCCTTTTTAGCTAAAGGGCTTTGTTATGGGGGCTTTTCCTGTTCCCCAGGCGAGGAGAGTTGCACTCTGGCCTTTGTTATTTGAACCAGATCGAGATTGTCACCTTGAGGTTTGGGAGTTTATATGTTTCGAGGGAAAGGTTATGATACTTTAAAGCCTGTTGTTTATCATGGTTAGGAGTTATGGTTCTACTGACCTTGATGACATGTTTTTTAGGGAGAAATTATGAGCCCTTGAGGCTTACAATTGTCTTTTCCTCCATGATTTTATTGTTATGTGGCACTGATGATCAGCCTGTTTTATTTTTCCATTCATACGAAAGTATATTGATACTTGTTCATTCTAAATTTTCATTGCATATATATATATATATATATATATATTATTTGATGTTTTTGAGACGCCTACATCGTTTAGGTAGGTATTGAGGGTTCGATAGCTGATGCTATACAACTCCTAGGTCTTGCACTGGCTAATTGGGGTGTGATTATCCGATGGGAGTTTGATCACATAGCCCTTTCTTCTAATTCCTTCCAAGCTAGGACCATTGGCTTGGGCTCTAGGGCTCCTAGGTCATTAGGATGAGTTCTTCTTCTTGGTTATTTTTGCTCTATGCCTTTCTTGTGCTTAAAAGTTCTCTGATGTTTGCTTTCACATGCCTGGATGTTTCTGGAGTAATCATCCTTCGAACGATAATTTTCTATCTCTTCCATTCTCTAGTGCCAGTTGTTTGGTCGGTATCTTTCGGAGGTTTCGTGTCATCTGGTGTTGCGTTGTTGTTATTGATTCTGATTTTCGCGGGGTTTTGGACCAGGTGCCGTTCTGGGGAAAGCTTCTGCCAATTGTGGGCTCATGTTGTTGTTGGAAGCCTCCTATCCATATCTTCTTTTGTAGGGTGGTTCCCTGTCTTTTCCCCTGGCCTTTGTGATCTCTGGGTTTTGTCTGTTGTCAGGCTCCTTCTTTGTACTATGTATCTTCACTTTGCGAAGGTGCATGGGTGTGCTTAGTGGTATCCATCTCTTCTTGGCATCCGTGTTATCAGTACATGGTATATCTTGCATAGTAATGTTGTTGCTACCGCATCCTTCCCCCGGGTTACGTGCCTGGGGTTTACATTCGTTCTTCTTACCGAGGGTGTGGGCATCTTTCCTCTTGCCTTTGACCATTTTGGATGGGAGTATCATGTTCCAACTTCTTTTTGGGATGCACGCCGTGTCCCATGATGATTGCCCGGATTGGCCTTGCTCGTGTGTTAACTGATGTGACCGTTGCTGAGCCTTTGGTTGTTCTGAATTTGAACATCCCATGTATTGTCGATGGGATAGCCTGTAATTGAAAGAGAGTCGGACGCCTATGGATGATATCGCTATCTGATCTTTGCTTGACTACCGAGAACTCGATTATCCTGGTTACTTGTTCCTTCCCATTGACACTGACTATAGTCAATGGTAGGTTTATGGTGTTGAGTGGCCACAACATGTATCCCGTGAAGCCAATAAGTGGTGCCTGGGCCGGGGGTTTCAGGTTCCTTCTCCAACATGGCAGAAGTTGCTTGAAATAATATTCAAAAAGGATATCGATGCTACTACCTCCATCTACTAAGGCTCACCAGGTCTTCTAATGTTTGACCGTGGTCGGGGTTATTATTGGATCTATTTGGTCCAATTCGGGCACTTGCAGGTCTGATGATAAGAAACTGATGTTTAGAGTGTCTCCGGAATGGATTTCATCGCTTTTTGGCCAACCGTTGGCACTTGTCCCGATCTTTGGGTTTCGTTATTTTGAAAATATCCTATTTTTTGATTGGTTGTTTGCCTGCTTCATTACAGGTTATCCCATTTTTTTGGTCAGATTCAAACTTTGACCATAGGGTCCTTCTATTAAGTTTCCTTTATATTGCTTGTCCGCTACTTCTCCATCATGGCGGGAGTTTCTTGAAATAGTGTTCATAAAGGATATCGATGTTGCTACCTCTGTCCTCTAAGGCTCGCCATGTAACATCCCAAAAATACAGGCCAAAAATTTCATTTTTAAATATGTTATTATAGAACCAATAGTATAAGAAAACATCCATAATATCATGTCATGTCAAAACCAAAGTAGAAATAATCAAAACATGTTATCATAAAACAATATCAGAGTGTAATCCCAAAGATCTAATGCGTGGAAAACCATAGTGTGATGCGGTGCGATTAAGCCGACTCATTTCCTTTGAAAACGAAGTTCCTGTTACCAAAACTGAAAACTATAAGCACGAAGCTTAGTGAGTTCCCCCATCATACCACATACCATACAATCACATAACATACATACTATCAGGCAATTCTGGGGTGCCCGACCTACCCATGTCAAGCCATTCTGGGGTGCTGACTACCCGTGTCAAGCCATTCTAGGGTGTTGACTACCCATGTCAAGCCATTCTAGGGGTGCCTTCCTACCCTCCGGTCTATCTCATCTGGTCATGGGGACTATTTCACCCCTTACTACTATCACATAATAACATATCATAAACATGCTGTCAGACATATCTGGGGTGTCTGACCTACCCTTCGGTCCTAACAATCGATTGGGGGACTAATCCCCTCCTACTACCATTATTACGTAGAACATAATATACTGGCATATAGAACACATCAAGTAATAGCAAACCAGACCTTTATCACAAAGACAATCATCTCAATTTAATAAACTAATAGTGGGTCGGCCTTGGTGCCTTAGACCCAATTCTACTGGAAGGTAACTCACCTCACATTGCTGAAGTCCCACAGACATAACCCCCAACTGATGGATGACAGATTCCAGAACTGTCAATATGAAAATATCAACCAATTAATAATTGGGTTCCAACACATAACCATAAATACATACTTATGGTTAAATACTACTGTACACATAACTTAGCTTTATTCAAGCTCGAGTCCCAATCTAAAGGCCCAAAAGTCAACTATGAGTCAAGGCCCAACATATGGCCCAATTTTCCAAATTGGGCCCAAACCTTTACAAGGTCTTACCATAAGGCCCAACCATTTAATCCAGTCCAACCTTTGACAGTCTAATGGTCCAATATCATACAATCATTAAGGCATAACTATGACCCATCTATGGCCTAATTTTCCAAATTGGGCCCAACTCCTCATATGTGCCTTACCTCAAAGCCCATTAATTATTCTAGTCCATTTGCTTGATCTTGGACGACCCATTAATAACCCAATAGAAAGGCCCAACAATAAACCCATGTCAAATTAGGGTTTCACATAAAATGACTATTAGGGTTAAGTGTTTCTCACTTAACCCATTAAGGATTTAATCCATTAAGTCCATCACTCTTCTAAATAACTTATATGGTGTGATTAGGCTTAATACACACCTCCATACCAATGGCCCAAATGTGGGTCCCGATAACTCCAAGCCCATAAATTCAATATTAGGGTTTTCTAAACAATAATTAGGGTTTCAAATCCCATCTTAGCCCAATAGGCCCAAAATCAAGTCCTTAAGCCCATTAGGGTTTTCCTTAGGTCAATTAGGGTTTA